CTTTTGTAAAAAAATACTTTTAAAATAAGCAAAGTATAAATTTTTTTTTTTGTTGAGAAATCAATACAAACGAGCTCATATGGAGAAACTCACACATCTCAATTGTACATCATGATAGTTCTAGATCTGCATTCATAGCAAATACAAACAAGCTCATGCTTTCATATATAAACACTTAGAACGGTTTCTAGTAGGGTGTTTATCAACTGATCCAAACCGATTCAAACCGCGGTGACCGAACCGAAAAACCGATAACCGAATAAATCGAAAACCGAAAAACAAAAAATCGAAAAAAAACCGCAAATTTTAATTGGATTGGATCGGTTTTTGGATGGGTTGATGAAAACTGATCCAATCCAAACCGATCCAATATATTAATTTTTCTCTACCTACTTAGATCTTTTCTTAATCATAGCCTAAAAATTTCTAAACCCAAGACCCATTAACCCATCATCTAAACCAAAGAAAAAATCTAGTCACATCTCATCAACAAAATTTTATCTTTGTAGAGCTTCATATCTCATTGCAAAAAAAAAAATTATATTATAATTTACTAATGCTTTTTTATTTCAATTTTTTTACAAAGCCAATATATACAAAAGATGTTATTTGTACAATAATCATGAAATAAATTTTAGGATTTTCAAAAAACCGAAAACCGATCCAATCCAAACCGAAAAAAATTGGATTGGATCGGATCGGATTTGGAAAAAAATCCAAACCGAATAGATGATTATATGATCATACCGAAGGGATTGGATCGAATGATTTTTGCTTTCAAAACCGATCCAATCCAGACCGCGAACACCCTAGTTTCTAGATTCTTATTGAAGACTTATCTTACTAAAGAAACCATACCATAAATGGAAGTCGGATACCTCAAACAAGATCCAAGATTTCCTTGGAATTGAGGTTACCAAAACCCTTGTCATGCACGTGAGGGGTAAAACCAATGAGAGGACCATCTTGCCAAAGGTGGACGAAGGAGCTTGTACCCTTTGGAAGAGTGAGAGGAGCAAAAATGGTAACCTCATTATTGTGACAGGTGGCCTTCAAATTTGAGTGAGGATAACTGATATTTCCCCCTTCCAAAAGGGTGTTGTAGTTAGAAACGAAGGAAGTATAGACTCTTAGGGCACCCCCAGAATCTGGGATAACCACAAGAGCTTGTGCTCCAACTGTTTTGAAAAATTGGCAAGTGTACCGATCGTTCCAAGTAATAAAAGGGTAAGTAGAGTATCGTCTCCACGAGGATTGAGGCACCAAAATTATTTTAACTATTCCTCTCTTGTTGGATTAATAAAATTGGTTTGAGAATAATTGTAGTTGTAAAAATTGAGAACAATTCAAAACTTGTGAATAATTCAAAGATGATTGTAAAACCTTGAGAATAAAAGATTAAATTGAGAAAATATTTAAAGAGTATTGCGGTAAAAGACGCCAACACCTTTCTGATCCCCACCTTGCAATATGGATTAATGTTTATATCTAATTTAACCATTGATCAAACAATTCACCATCTGTTAATTGATTAGTTAAGCCCTAATTCCTTAGTGATCTTAACTTTATTAACCCTATTAAAATCCTAATCCCTTAGAGATTCTTTTTCAAGTTAAGCCTTTAATTCAGTGAATTTTTCACGTTTGCAATTCATGAAGCTATCCCTAGTGTGTACATAAATTGTTATTTTACCTTTTGTCAGGAACTAGAATCTCAATATTCCTATTGAGAACCCTAACCCTCGCAATCCTAATAGAGTGATCGGTTCTAAAAGAATTATAAGATGAAGAACAAGATAAAATAAATGTAATTGAAATAATTAAATATAAAAATTAACCATTCTACAAGGGGTTCACATCAAGGGTTGTGACTCTTACCACAATAATAAAAGACTAGCCAGACATGTTCATGTCTGACAATTCAATGTATGGAAAAGAATTCATAAATAAATAAAAACTAGAAAATTTGGGAAGAAGAAAACTTGAATCTTCAATCCAAGAGCTTGCTCTGAAGTCTCCTTCGTATTCTTCTTCGTGCCAAGAGTTGTCTTCTTTTTGTTTCTGACTTTCTTTTTATAACCCGCAATCCAATCAGGTCATAATCTTCTGAAAGATTTGATTTTTCTTTCTGTTTCTATCCAAATTTGAAATCAGGATCTGAATTTACGACGTCCAACGCGATCAGCGCTAGGTACGCGCGATTCGCGCGGGCAAGCAGTAGAGCCCAAAATGCTTGGCGCGACTAGCGTGGAAATCACGCTACCAGCGTGCGATTGCATTGAGTGTCCTCCTTCATTGGCGCGAATTGGCGCGACTGGCGTGGCAAGTTGGCTTCACTTGGCGCGAATGGCGTGAAAAGTCTTTTGTTAGCGGTTAGCGTGAGTTTCACGCCATTTGCATGAAAATTCAGTGCTCTTGACGCCATTAGCATGAAAATGGTGCTACTCGCGTGGAGATCTTTAAATTTTCACGCTATTAGCGTGAATTTCATGATAATAGCGTGAAAGGAAGTGACTGCCTCTTCCTTATTTTCTGCTTTCCTCTGTAAAAATATAAAATCAGAGTGAAAGTGTGCCTGAAGATGGATTATCAATAACTCATTAAAAATAATACTTTTTATCATTGAATTACTGTCAAATCCTTATTCTTTTTACTCTGAAATATCCATATGCCGAAGGCACATCAAACAATTCCCAGATTTAGATATTGTTGTCCCCAGCAATAAATAAGATCAAACATTAGGCAGCAATGATAAGCTCTGTGAGAAGAATTTATGTCACTGATGAAATTTTCTACATGGAAAAGATTCAGAGTTATGATGCTATGCATGAGCGAATTCAAAGTTGAGAATTTCAAAAATCACTTTTTGTATAGGAATTAGAATCTAGCTCAATCACTCCTTACCAAGATAATCACTGCACTTGTCACTCTTGTGTATTGGGTTTAACTCTCAATTCCTCAGTGCAATAAGACTACCATAGGCTTGCTCCTAATCTCAAGTTCCTAAGGATGAGGAACATATAACACATGCATAATTAGATCCAAAGGTCTTCACAAGGTTGTAACTTGGCTTAGGTTAAGGTAGGAATATCTAGGAAAGTGGCTACTTTTTACTGTGTAGATTGAAACACAATTATTTATTTTCAGTTGTTCACATTCAAACACAATTTTACTCAGTCCTTTCCTTTCTATTCATACTTTTTCTTTTTCTTCTTTTTCTTGATCTTTCTATACTTTTTTTCGTTGCTATGCAACTTGTTCATTTTGTTCTTTTTCTCTTTGGTCTCAGCTTTTTCTTTTGCCATTACTTTAACTTCTGTGAACTTTTTCCTTGAATTTCTATGATCAACGCTTCAATCTCATTCAGGATATACTGACAGGGAGATAAGTTAAGTGTTTATGGTGAAATCCAACAAGAGAAAGGCTAAAGCTCAAATGGGCTAACAATGGAAATTTTTCAGGACAACTATTTGGCCAAGTAGTTAACAAGAAAGAATTTCCTTTATCATTTCAGATCATGCATGTATTACAGAGAAACAGATCAAGTTCTAGAGTATTATCACAGTGAGGCCTCTCTAAAAAAATTACTGTATAGGCTTAAACCTCACGGCTGTGCAATCAAACTAAAATCCAAATTCTATTATCATCACATATCAACTGCAACTCTCAACAAAGAATTCAATCAAACGAGCAATAACAACTCGTATACTTCAATGGATTACTCATAACATTTATCCATTATGACTTCTCACACAGTATCTTATATGCTCTCTAAGATTTAATCATTTTATTGCATGAGTAGCTAACACAGATTCAGGTATGTTGCTCAGAGAATTTCATCTATTAAAACAAAAATAACAAAAGAAAATGAGACAAAAGGTTCAGATATCTCCCATGATTCAGAAAATTTTTCTGTTAGATGTCTTTCTGTGTGGTTCCTCTGTGTCGCATGTGGTGCGCCCAATTCCCAGATTTAGAAGATTGTTGTCCCCAGCAATAAAACTAAACTAGTCGAAGAATTTCTGCGCAAGTAGAACACACACATGTGAAATATCAAGCAGAAAATAGCATGACCAATGTACTGGAGAATTACAAAACCAAAGACCAAATAACTGCAACTCTTTTTAACTGACTCCAAACTAACTCTTTCGAAAATTTAAAATACTCAACATAATTAAATAAGAAAATGACTCAAAAGTTATTGGGTTGCCTCCCAACTAGCGCTTGTTTAACGTCACGAGCCTGACCTACCCTCTGTGATTATGGTGGTTGGAAGCACACTACCATTGATGACCCAATCTTCTTAGTCCAGTATTGTGTCTTTCCATAATAATCATATGCACGTGGTTGAGGATGAAGGTTCTCAGGAACTTTAAACTTAGTCTTCACATGCTTTTCCTTACTCCTGAATTTTTCCATCTTAACCTTTGGCTTGCTTTCTTCATGCTGCTGATGGACTTCCTTCATTGTGGGATTTAGTCTTCTCTGAAGCTGTTTCACTGGTTTAACATTGTCTTCCATCAAAATCTTGTGAGTACAGAAAGAAGGATTGATGCCCTTCAAATCAGAGATAGACCACCCAATAGCTGTCTTGTGCTCCTTGAGTACTTTAAACAACTTCTTCTCTTCATCCATAGACAACTCTTTATTGATGATAACAGGATATTGCTTTTCATCTCCCAAGAAGGCATGCTTCAGAGTTTCAGGTAACTCTTTCAATTCTGTTTTTGGTACTACTGTAACTAGATCATTTTCTTTCTTTTCTAGCACCTCAAAAACAACCTCTAGCTCTTCTTGTGGAGTAGCTTCATCTTGAGCCTTCAACTCTTCTTCAAACTCTTGATAATCATTTTTCGCTTCCATAACCACCTCTTCCAATACATCAAGTTTGAAGCAGTCATTCTGGTCAGATGAATTCTTTATAGCATCAAACACATTGATAGTGATTGTCTCATCATTTATCCTTAACTCGAGCTTTCCTTGTTCTACATCAATCATAGCTCAAGCTGTGGCCAAGAACGGTCTACCCAATATAAGGGGTATTTCACTCTCCTCCTCCATGTCCAACACAATGAAATCAGCAGGGAAGATGAACTTGTCAGCTTTAACAAGGACATCCTCTATGACTCCATGAGGTTTCCTCAAGGAACGGTCAGCAAGCTGTAGAGAGACCATGTTTGGCTTCAATTCAGAAATTCCCAATGACTTGCATATTGACAATGGCATCAGATTGATGCTTGCTCCAAGATCGCAAGTGCCCGACCAACATTAGTGTTGCCTAGCGCAATTGGAATGTTGAAACTCCCAGGATCTCGAAGCTTTGGTGGGAACTTCTTCTGTATAATAGCACTACACTCTTCAGTAAGTGCTACTGTCTCACATTCCTGCAACCTATGCTTTCTAGACAACAAATCTTTCAAGAATTTAGCATAGTTAGGCATATTAGCTAAAGCTTCGGCAAAGAGAATATTAATATGCAACTTTTTAAACATATCTAAAAACCTGGCATATTGTTGCTTCTGTGCCTGTTGCTTGAGCTTTATAGGATAAGGGAGTTTCTCAAAACGAGAATAATCCATCAGTTTCTTTGGAGCTTCAACAGGTTTCTCCTTGTGGTTGTAAAAGGTTGTAAACAAAAATAGGTTGTAAGTATAACCTTCCTTTTTTTTATTAACTTTTGTAATTTTAAATGTTTGTTAAAAATTCATATGATTTTTTAAAATCTTAAAAATACATATTGTCCTTTCAAATCTTATAAATTCTATTAAAATCCTTTAAAATACAATCTTATGAAATTTTGATTGTAAGAAAAGTCTTTTGTTTTGTTTTTAAAGTCTCTCCAATTCTAAATAATCTTTTAAGATCTATAAAATTTTTATCACAAAAAAATCTTTTAAAATCCTAATGCAATACACCCCAACAGAGTAGCTGATAAGTGATTGCAACTAACAGCTAACGACGTACAAAATTAACTAATTGAATGACGTGGCATTGTGATGACTAGTGACGCTTTCGTTCCATGTACTCATGCACTGCTCAGTGAAGTTTCGAGTATGGTAGTGTAATGAGGAAAAAAAATTAATTAATTAAAATTTAAATAAAAAATTATGAAATTATTGATATTTTAAAATTATTTACGCGTATATTACAGTGTGTCATGCCCTGATTGGGCGTGACCACTCCTATCTAAGTTGGGCCTCACCCATGAGGCACTCACGCCTAAATTAGGCATTAGTCGACTGGTTTTGACAAGTGGCACAAAAAATTAACAGTTTAACCACAAAACTTCCGAAGGTCATATCTTTTGACTCGGGTATCCGAATCAGGTAATTTTTTTTGATTCCACATAACTTTTCAATATCTACGCAATGACACCTCATTTGGTACGTTTTATCTCTAACAAACACAGTTCGAATTTACAACAATAGTACTATATACCTGATTTGGATACCCGAATCAAAAGTAATGACCTTCTGAAGTTTTACAATTAAACTGTTAACTTTTTGTGCCACGTGTCAACATCAGATGAGTCACACCTAATTTAGGCACTCATGCCTCGTGGGTGAAACCCAACTTAGGCGTTAGTGGTCACGCTCAATCAGAATATGACACACTGCAATACACGCGTAAATATTTTCAAATCAGCTATAAACTCATAATTTTTTCTTTAAATTGCAATTAATTAATTTTTTTTGCCAATGTAATGACTAAATATTGTACACAATAATAAAAACTTTATTTTATTATTTTATATTATATTGCAGTGTAATACTATACTACAATAATTACATAAATAATATTTTATTTTGTGTTTATGAAACATTGATATTTTAATTTTGTGTAAAGTACATAATAGTAGTATTTATAGAGTCAGACCGGCTCGGCCGGGTTGATTCGATAATCGATAAATCGATCATATAATCGATTTGAGTGAAGTAGCGGATCAGTCAAGCAATGAAACCTGGCCGGTTTTGGTGAAAACTGGTGACCCGATTGGTTCCACTGGTGACCCGATCCGTTTACGCAAAAAAAAAAAAATCAATAAAATGCTTGTAAATTTAAGAAGACCATTTTATGTTTTTTTTTTTTGTAATTTAAGAAGCTTATAAAATAAGAGAAAATTATAATTAACAGGATAAATTAACGAGTCATCAAGATTTCATATGGATTTCACTTATGGTATATGTTAAATGTTTGAAGACATATCAAGTATTATGTGTTTTGTTGTTTGGATAATATTGTGTAATTTATTATTTTTTTATATAAGAATATTTGGAACTGATATTATTTTTTTATAAGAATTTAAGTATATTTATAATTTTTTAATATAAATTATAAAATTGTATATACATACCGAATCATATGATTCTCAACCAATGACCAATACTTTTGACCAGATCGAGTTTAATAATATAACACAAATTTGTCTACAACAAAGCTAGAAACACTCATGGAATGAAAGGATGCCACGAATTGATTGTCGTACGTGACCAAATTGAATTCTTTTACTTGAACTTTTTTAAATGATAAGATACCTTGAATGAAAAAAAAATGCAAACGTAAAAATCTTAAACAAAATTTATAAATTTTTAACAATATCTCACTTTTAAAAATAAAAAAAATGGAGTGAAATGCAAGTTTTGTTTTAAAAAGGACCGGATATACTTAATACCACATAACTTTACGACATTTACAATCAATTTAATCAACATTAATTTCTGTCAATATAACGGTTATAGTTTATTGAGAATAGTGCATAATAAACATTAACGTCCATAGAAAAAAAGAGTCAAACAAAGTTCCTCTCGGTTCAAAAAATTCTAGAAAAATATTCCGGCGGCAGCAAGAGGCAAATAAATAGAGTTCTCGTTCTAAAGGCGGCAGTTGTGGAAGCAAAGTCCTCAGAATTGAGAGCTTTGATATCAACTTGAAAAGAAAGAACTTGAAAAGTAAGATTGTATTATTTGAAAATTGTTTTTTGCAAATGTACAAGAGCTCTTTATTTACAGAGAATAAATAACCCAATGGGCTAAGCCCAAAGAAGATTCTACAATAAAAATAAATAATTACAATTATTAATAAAAAGATAATTACAATATAATTATTTACAACACTCCCCCTTAAGCTGAGGAATAAATATTTATCATTCTCAACTTGCTAGTAAGCTCTTGAAATCTATCAGAGGGAAGTCCCTTCGTCAGAATATAATGTATGGAGTGACGATCAGCCCGCTATCCAATTTCTCTTTGATGAAATGATCGTTGACCTCAATATTCTTAGTCCGATCATGTTGAACGGAATTATGAGTTATATAAATGGCTGACTTATTATCACAAAGTAGCTTCATAGGCTATTACAAAAATAAAAATAAAAATAGCTTAATAGGTTCTTCATATCTTATTTTAAGATCTTCAAGTATAGTCTTTCACTTTGTAGGGAAAAAAAAGACTATAAAGAGTCAAGTTTCTCTAGTCTTTCACTAGACGTACAATCAAGCATCACAAAAAATGGTGGTATTCTCAAGTTTCCCTAAAGAGGTCTTACTCAAAGTTCTCTCCAGAGGTATTCACTTGGGTAACCTATTACAAATGAATTCAAGAATTTATATAAGGTGAGATGAGCTCTCCACCTTTTTCCAGAATCTTTCATAATGATTGGGGTGGTTGGTCTGTCTTGAGCCCTGCACTTAGGTGTGTTAAAGGGTCGAGCCGAGCCGAGCTGATCTTTGATCTTAAAAGGCTAAGCCTGTGTTTAAATGTGTTAGCCTGACCAAGTCTGTTACCTGTTATGAATATAACTATCGGCATTTGGCCTGACTTATTTATAAAAAATAAAAGTCTGGTTTAGCATGTTTAAAAAAATAAGAAAACAAAAATTTATCCAAACAGAATATACAATCAACAGCACTAGTAATTTCATAAATATTCATAAATTCAATGTATATCACAACAACATAATATAGAACAAAATCATTCAAAAAGTCTGTTTAACTAATAAAATGGGGTGAAATGGATTGGAAAGAGAGAGGACTGTTACAAGTAGTATAAAAAATATAAAATGAAAATTAATATATTAGGCCAGCCTGAGAGGCTCTAAGGCCGAGCTTTTTGATTGGAGTCTGAGGCCTTTTTATTAAACGAGCTTTTATACAAGTCCAAGCCTGATTCCATCAACCAATTTTAGACACGTAAGCTCAGGCCTTCACGAGCTGAGCCAAAGGCCCTTGGTTCGTTTATCACCCCTACGCTGCACCAATTAGTGAGGTGCATGTCAGCATTAATAGAGGAATTTCCCCAACAATTAATTCTAAAAACTGTTTGATTTCGACACGTTAGTATATATTTTGATATTAAATAATATTTTTAATATATAATATAATTTACATTTAATACATGTAGCAACCCATAATAAGTCAATAATCAATCAAATATTCAAATTTCTTAATATAAATATAAAGCAAAAATAATTTTTTATGCCTTGTTAATTTTTCATCAATTTGCATAATAAAGAATATTTAATTTATAAATTAATTTATTATGTTTAGTTAAAAATAAAATAAAATAAAAATTTAGATCTACATGAACATTAATAACATATCAAAACATGTCAGAGCACGACACCGGCATATACTTTTCAGTGTACGTACAACATAGACAACAAGTAGTTTTGAAGATTACATTTTGATCTTTCAGGGAGCGTTTGGTTGAAGAGAAATTTTATGAATGATAGGAAAATGTTATAGATAGGAAAATAGTTGGAAAGTGATATAGGTAGAAAAATATAAAAAAAGTTTTTTGGTTGGGAAAAATTTTACTGGAAAAATTAGGTAACTTTTATGAAATCTATGTTTGGTTGTAGATAAAATATAGATGGGAAAATAAGTTGGTTTTATGAAAATAACCCTGTATTTAATTTTTTTTTTATTTTAAAAGTTGTGTCAAGGTTAGGAATTGACAGGTTGAAAATCGTTTTGATGGCTTCAAAAATATTTTGAACTTTGAAAGCCTATCAGCTCATTCGCTTGAACTCTCACCCTTTCACAAATAGTGAAAAAGCCGTGGTTTTACAAAAAACCACATACGAGATAGCTTTTCTAACAGTACCGAAAGATAGCTTTTTCCTATCCAATTGAAAAAGCTGTGTATTTTGGAACGCTGGCTTTTTGTCTGAATCTATTCCACCAAACACTGGCTTTCTGGAATCCTTGTGTCACTTGCCTAGGAAAATTTTGTAAAGAGGCCAGCCAAACACCACCTCAAGGTCTTTGAGAAATATGATGTTTTAAAAGAAAGCACTGAATGTTGAACAAACTACCCACAGAACGGGATAAATCTTTGGATCATTATTGTACTCAAGTGGGTACAATATTTTTTCAATTTTAGAAAAAAGTGTAAAGTGGCGGGAAAAACAAATTTGAAAAGTGTTAAATTTTTTTTCAAAAGTGAAAAAATGTTGTACCCACTTAGATACAACAGTAGTACCAAAGATTTATCCACTTTATTTTCTAAAACTCGGACGAGAATGATTTTAAATTAAAACAAACTATATCTTATTTATATCTAAACACCTTGGTTTTTAG